TTTTTTTTAAAGCATAGGCAAAATTCCTCTTGCAGTGTTCTGTAGGCTGCTGATTTTTGCTCGTGTTATTCAGCTGCAACAGAATGCTTTGTAAAAAGACAGAATAAATGTTTGACATCTAAATGTTTGACTTCATTTTTTTAATATTGGATTTTTTATCTTATTGGAATCGAAACTAGGAATCGATAAGAATCGGAATCGATAAGCAGAATCGGAATCGGAAACGATAAAATTCAAACGATACCCAACCCTACTCGGAACAAGTCATTCACAGAATCAGAAGTTAACAGAAGTGACGTCACATTTTACAGGCCCCATCCATGACTGTTGACGGACACTGCCGGTGTTACAAGATTTTCGGTTTTTGAGATTTTTTGGTTTCAGTGGGCGGGGCATACATGAATATTCATGAGTTTCCCGGAAATGTGCATGGAACCAAGTGGTACTGAGACTTCCTCTATCCTCACGCACCGTGACAGAACGGATCCGCCAACATGAGGACTCAGCGGAGAAATGGCTCACTCCATCTACCGGTCTCTACTCTCTCCAGCCCCCTGTGGAGTTCGTGGCACGTTCCCCAGCTAAGGGGGCTGCAGTGCCTCTCGTGATGGCCGACAAGGCTGCAGCACCCCCAGTGGTGGCCGACGAAGCAGCCGCACCCCCAGTGGTGGCCGAAGAAGCTGCCGCACCCCCAGTGGTGGCTGAAGAGGCTGCAGCGCCCCCAGAGGTGGCCGATGAATCTGCAGCGCCCCTGGCCGAAGAGGTTGCAGCGCCCCCAGAGGCGGCCGATGAATCTGCAGCGCCCCCGGTGGTGGCCAGAGAGGCTGCAGTGCCCCCGGAGGTGGCAGACGAAGCTGCAGTGCCACCGTCGCGGAAACGGAGAAGGAGGAAGAAGGCTTCTTCCGTCCTTCAAGGCCGGGAGGCCTTCCTAGAGCCCGGTGCCCTGCCGGCGCCGCCCAAGCTCCTCGCCCCGCCAGCTCCGCCCAAGCTCAAGCTTCATGCCCTGCCGGCTCCGCACAAGCTCAAGATTCATGCCCTGCCGGCTCCGCCCAAGCTCAAGCTTCATGCCCTGCCGGCTCCGCCCAAGCTCAAGCTTCATGCCCTGTCGGCTCCGCCCAAGCTCAAGCTTCATGCCCTGTCGGCTCCACTTAAGTTCCGCTCTCTGTCAGCTGTACCCCAGCTGCTTGCCCTGCCGGCTCCCTTCTTGAGGCAGGCTCCGCTCTTGCTGCC